TGTTCTGAGTCAGAAAGCAGTTGAGGTGTGGAGCTGTGAGGCCCTTGGAGATCACACAGCACTAGGGTCCTCGGAGTCTGAGATTTCAGAAACTGTTAACGTTTCTAAAAGAGAGGGGTGGGCGGGAGAGAAGAACCAGTGAGAGGGCTGTCTAGAAGCATGACAGACATACTGAGAATCTAGGAAAGATATAATCTCACTATTTTATAAGACAACACAGATTTGACTTTACGCTCTCAAGTCATCATGACTTTCCTCTGGCTGTTCTAAAGAGCAGATGTGTGCCTGGGCAGCATAACTGGATGGGGTAACTGGGCGGGGTAACTGGGCGGGGTAACTGGGCAGGCCCGGCTGCCACACACCACAGGAGCACCGTCACAGCGGCGGGGCCTTCTGCAGCTGCCTTCTGAGAGACAGGCACCGCAGCATCGCGTCAACAGCAACCTGAATAAAAAGTTTCCACTTGAAATGGATAGGATTTGATACTGCTCAAACCTGAAGATGAACAAAGCTCACCCTTTTCTAATCCTCCGTGTCTAACATGACCGTAAGCTTTGGGGCTACACAGAGCAAATGCACCTCTTTCTAAGAGGAAGGGAAAGTAGTTTCTACTTTCCTTTCCCCCCTCAGATTCATACTGCTGAACTTCTGTGTCCTCAGCTATTTTTTTGTAACTTCTAACCTCAAATACTGTCCAACCTCAAATACTGTTTCCGCCTTCAATTCTTCCTGTCAACTCCTTTGCCCTGTCCATTCAAGTTTTCTTTGAGTAGCTTAGGAATTTGCTCTTTGGCACCAAAGTGAATAAATCACTCTTAATATGGCAGGTGGGTGAATATGCAATTACTTTCTATGACTTTGAGAGCTTTCCTTGACTATTTCTGCTTCATCAATTCTAAGAAATTTTAGTCCTTTGAAGTCTTCTAATGTGGCTTTCATAAAATACCACAAAAAAAAAAAAAAAGCCATGAAAGTATATGTTTCTTTGGGGAGAAGAATAAAAGAGTAAAATTTCTATGAAGGAATGGTTTCAGTGCCCGCCCCCCATTCTCCTCCTTGCTCATAAAAGGTAGCTACGAAACTGACATTTACCACCAGGAGAAAATATTATTCCAATTTTTCTGGATGGTAAAACTCTAACCCTAAAAGCCATGTAATGTTAAGCAAATAGCTGATTTCTGTCCCTTTGATCCATATTCCAACTACAAATGAGAAGGGGTTGCCATTTATGGGCTTTTCTGGGTCAGGATGGAAGGAGAGCAAAAGGCAAAAGAACTGAATGGCTTCTTCGTTGTCAGGAGATGAAAGGGCATTGTTAGTCTGACTCACTCTGGGCTTTTCTTGTAAAATGGTCAAATCAGTGCCCAGAATTGGTGGACTCCGCTGGGCTTCAGGGGGGCTGGATGGTCCTATGTGACCATGAAGGCTTCACAAGAGCTTGAAACAAACATAACGAGCAGGAGGAAGTTCATCTTCTTTAGAAGAATTATAAGCTGCAGGTTTTTTGTTCATTTGTTTGTTATTGTGGTGCCGGAGATTGAACCAGGGCCTTGCACACGCTAAGCATGTGCCCTACCGTGGAGCTCCACCCTTGGTCCTTATCAGCTGAGCTTTTCACCCCATCTTCCTATTGTACACTACAGTTTCAGAGCCAACACAATTTCTGCATGGAGACGATGACCTGCCTGTATTTTCAGGAACGTCACCGAGCATATCTTGTCCGTACATGCACTCTCCTGAACGAACCTGGGTACTAGCACAGCAGAAATGGCTTATTCTTGCCCAGGCCAATAATGAAAGATTTGTGAAGAGTCCTGTGTGCATGAAGCACTCGGGAGGACTGAGGAGCAGCTCAGGGGTGAAGCGTTTGCTGAGGATTCGCAAGGCCCTGAGCTCACCGCGTGGCACTGCCGAAAGAAGTCCAAGCTTCTGTAGGGTCATCAAATGGGGCAGGTCTTGTTTAGTGCCCCGCTGGCTCCAGGAGAGGCATGTGGCATGTGGAACATTTCCTGGCCCTGGGGAGGAATTTAGCAGCTCTCAGCCCAAAGGCTCTCCACTCTCCACGGTGACGGGACAGCTGGCCACTGCCAGATAATGTCTCTTGCTGTGACAGACTTTCATTGTCAAAGAAAACTCAAACACTTATGAAACGGCTCTGGCGAAGTCATGAGACATGCTCTACAGCCGCAGCACAGAAGTCCCCTCAAAGGCTTCAACTTCTCACTCAGCCGGGGCAGCTTCTGTGGCGTTATCTTGGATGGGCACAGAATCCAGGGCCATAGGTGAACCAGCTCCCTCGCTGGGCTGCAGCAATCCAGTGATGATGTGAAGAGACACCAGAATTCATTAGAGACACAACACCCCATCCAGATACCCCCCAGGCTTCCAGGTCCACCTTAAACTCTCAAACCTCATCTGGACTACGGAAGAAGCAGTGGCCAAGTGACGAGGACAGCACCTCTACCTCCTTGACCACAGGACCCTGGCCTGCTGAGAGCCCAGTCTTGCCAACCCAGTAGCCCGCTGGGCACGGAGACGACATGCAAATGAGCCCGGGAGTCACTGGGTAGTTGGAAGAAAGCGTCAGAAAACAGAGCTGCAGTGCGCAGACACAGACGTGAGAGGGAAAGGTTGCCTCTGCAATGAAGATCACCTCGCGGAAAGTGATGCTGGGCGCCTCTTCATGGAGCTGGCCGAATAAAACAAATCCTAACTGGTTCTCAGAGGCAGGCACTTGCTCTTGGTAATGCTGATGCTTTGCTCATATGTACTCCTAGCGAAAATACATGACGTTACAGAGCGGGCTGCTGGAGACACAGCAGCACGGGAGCAGCCACAGCTGGCGCAGTCCTGAGGGCGTCTGGGTGGCGTGTACGCCTCGGTGAGAGGAAGCCCGTTAAATAGGACTCTACTGCGGGCTTCCCTCTTGCTGGGTGCCTCACTCTCCCTCCTCACGTTACTTCCTGTACCCACACTAGAAAACCCCGGCCACCCTGGCGACTTCTTGTTACTTGGAATGCCAGAGTCCTGAGGGTCAGACCTCAGGGTTCTTGGAAGTATCAAGGCTGTATCACCAAATGGAGCCCAGTGAAATGGGTTTGCCAAGCTTACATGTCCTTATTTTTCTTTCTCAATTGGGAAGAACACTAAGATGTACCTATGAGCAGAAGGAGACCAGGACCCGCACACCAGCGTTGTACTACAGTGAACCATGTCACCCTGGCCAAGCCCCCAGACCTGTCAGAGCTCAGATTTCATTTTGGTAAACTAATAACAATGGTACAGTTTATATCAACAATAATGCTTAAGAGTCATCAGCCACGTATGTTGTAGAACACTTTCTAAGGTTTGCACGTGATGATCTCATTCACTAATCACAATATCATTAAGCTGGGTGCTGATTTAGCCCCATTTTATACAGTGCAGCAAACTGATCCTGAGAGGACTCACACTGATGCTTGCGCCAGCATCTGTGCGGGTGTTCTGGGTGAGCTGCAAGCCTATGCTCACAGCGCCAACCCATGGACAGGAGGGCACAACGTATCTGGCATGGTGACTGGAATGCAATAAAAGTTCAATAAATGTTTGGATATAAGTAATGATAAACTAGTACTAACAGGTACAGAAAGTAGTACTTTAAAGAATATTAGAATCTATTAAATCAAGTAAAAAACTTTTGTTAATCAGCAGTTAATAAACACTGAGGGAAGACCTGAAATTCATTGTCTTTGCAGCCGCAACACTTTCGGCAGAGACGTTCTGTGAATACCAGCTGGATGCAGAACTGGAGTCACTGTACTGCAGAGAAGGCCCAGCTCAAGACACTTTCCACCGGGCCAGGCGGAAACACTCCCCACACAGACCAACATCTGCGCTTCATGCTCAGGGGCTGGTGTCTTCCTCACCACGGGGAGCTCACACAGACCATCCGGGCAGCACAGGACGTGACAAACTCTGCTGCACGCTGTCCTCATCGTGACCTCCTTCCCAAATGGGCTGAGGACACTTCCAGCAAGCTGAGGATGGCTCTCCACCGCCACCCCTGGCCAGGTTAAAGTGCTACACTGCCACGTCCTGAGGAAGCTGTTAGGTTCAGTGTGAGGGAATCAGAGCTCGTAGACCTCATTTCTACTTATGCATGTTTAAAAACATCAAATAAAATGTCATAAAAAAGTAATTTCCTTAAAATATTTTGATTTATGATACTGGCTTTTAGAAAAGTTCATTCTTACAGAACTTCAGAAGGTATTAGAGAACTTATAGAGAATGAAAAGGCAGGAGGATAAACTAAAATATTAAGTTTAGGAAGATTACTAAAATCTAAATTTTAAAAATGAGAAAATTTGATGCCAAAGCTTTATGTCTTACTCAAGGCCTCACAATCGACAAATAGCAACACCGAGAATGTCTCCTGATCAGCGACGCTTCCAGGCATGTGAACAGAAACGTGGCCGTGGAAGTCGCTCTCTGAGGAGAGGACAGAGGAGCTCTGGCACTGTCCAGGTTCATAGCCAGGTGGCATTACGTAAGCACACACCTCTGAATGCCCTTCATAATGTTTAAATCATTTTTTTTTCAATGACACATTTTGTTCATTTATTCCCACTTGAATTAAATAAGGAAAAAACAGAAGGGAAAAAGAAGATGCTGGCCATAGTATTTTATATAAATCAACAACTCTTTCTAGAAAAATTGTATTTAATAAAGCACATTTGGACAAAGATGGTACAATAAGCAATACTGCTAAACTCGTGACTGTCCTCAAGTCAGCACTTTCCACTTAGCTTCAGCTTACACCCCGGGATGAACCTCTGACACTAGTGTGTGTGTGCGCAAGTGCAGTCTCACCAGCCTCCTGCGTGGCTGTTTTCACAGCAGAGATAACAGAAACCTGAGCTCTATGGGACCTAACTGTCGTCATGCAAAGGACGGTCTCTCTGACACTGTCAAAGCTGGGCACAGAGGGCAGGGCTGAGAGGGGGAATCATTGCAGCAGTTACCTAGGCATGTAAAGGACTCTCTCGGCCACCACAAAGCCCACCCTGAAGAAGAGGTTGCTGGCGGGAATGAACGGGAACACCAGGAACAACAAGCCCACGAGGACTTCCTTGTGCTCCAGCCTCTGCAACACACAACGGGGAAGGGCAGGTTAACTTTGGTTTACACCACTTCTGTCAGCATTTCACCACATTATCACTTTCATTTCTCGTTCTCAGGGATGGACCGATAAGTTAGAACATGCAAACCTTTTGCCCAGTGAGCTGAATTTATCCTACAAAGCCTCACGCTAGAATCACTGGCATGTCAAAATGCTCATGGGTGCCCCAGATGCACCAAAACGTGATACTGGCTGTTATGGCTTGTATCTAGATGTCTCCCCAAGCCTCAGGAGGTCATAGGTGGGGCTTTTCCAAGAAGGCTGAATCTATGGCATGTGATGCTGGGATTAAGGATGTGATGGTGGGATTGATTCATGGTGCAGTGCTAGGATTAAGGCTGTCCCACCTGGGTGGTGAGTGCTACCTGTCCCGGTAGCCTGAATAGGACATAAGGAACAGAAAGAAGGTCACTGCTTGCTGCTTGCTGCTTTTGCTACCTTCTGCCTGCCATGGACATTCTCCTCTGTGATGCCCTTCAGGCATACCAGCCTGCCGTGGAGCCAGCCAACTCTGACCTGAAACCTCTACAAACTGTGAGCTAAATGGACCTTTCCTCCTTCAACTTTGGGTGTTGGGCATTTTGTCTGAGCGAAGAGAAAAGTAACTAAGACACTAGCACAATGGAGCCAGGAACTACTGTTCCTCGCTCTTGGCTGGCGCTACAGTAGCCCTGCTTCTTGGTTCTGGAAGCTTCAGAATCGCTGTCCCCTAGACACCTGGAGGCTGTCCTGGAGCAAAGCAGATGGACAGAACGAAATATATGGAAAACTGTGTCTCTAAAAGAGAGCTCCTGGAAAAGGAGGAGGAGGAGGAGGAGGAGGAGGAGGAGGAGGAGGAGAAGAAGGAGAAGCTAACTAAGGAAGCAAAGTTCACCACAGTGCAAATAAAATGCTGACAGTAGATTTAGACACCAATGAGTGGCCTTGAATGAACTGCAGTGTTTCTAAGTACCTCTCAAATTAAGCCTGGAAAGTAAATTACTCTATCAACATTCTTATAATAAAAAAGTCATTAGGGGCTGGGGATTTAGCTCAGCGGCAAAAGCGCCTGCCTGGCAAGCGCAAGGTCGTGAGTTCGGTTCCCGGTACCGGAGAAAAACCAAGAAAAAAAATAAAAAATAAAAAAATAAAAAAGTCATTACAAACAGTCATTAAATTGACAAAAGACCTTTTTCTAATATTTGAAAAGATTTTTGTTAATCTTTGTGTAGTTAAAATTATACAAATTAATTTGTGAAGGTTTTAATAATTAAAAATTTTCTCTTTAATATAAACATGTTACTATAAACATTATAAAATTAGTTTGTATTTCTAAGGATATGGATGATAGAGATATATCTGAAGAGAGTTCTGTGCTTTATTTATTAAAATAAAGTTTAATAGATTAAGTATTATTTTTTCATCAAAAAAAGTTTAAGAAAACCAAATAGAAATTTCCATACTGTAATACTGAATGTCTCCTATAAACTGTTACTTTTAATAACTGGGAAAGAATAAAAGACTTTCATAAATATAAATAAAACTCCCTAATAGAAACTACAAATATTTTATACAAAAAAGGACTTTAAACATTTTGCATTTAAATATCTTTTACAAACATCACCTGGATTTTAAAACTAACTACAACATATAGAATAATATAACTTCTGGGAGTGAGCCCATATACTTGAACAGTTTTCCTTAAAATAATAATGTTACTTCTATTAGTAATAATCTCAAGGGTCCAGGCCCTTTAGGAGAAACAATAGTTTATATCACAAGCCTTCAACTCAAATGGACATAAAATAATGTTCTATTTTTAGAATCTATTACAATTAACAAAAAAGGATAAAAGAGAAAACAGGAGCAGGTTCATTTTATTTAAACATTGAGTTATCACTGTAATGTATAATTTGAATTCACAAAGTATATATGTGGTGAAGAACTTAAAGTGCGTATTTTAGCAAAGACCAAACATCTTCACAAGAATCCTGCGACAGCAAGAGCGGAAGTTTCCGGCTACCACTGAAAATAAATCCCAGCGTGTCTTGCGTGTCCCACATTCACCCAAAAGCTATCATTGAGGTGCCCATCTACATTTTCATGGGTGCACTTTTATATTTTAGAGACAGCTGATTACATCTTTTGACCTTTTTGAAAAGCCGAAGTGCTGTCCACATAGGCATTCAGGTGCCTTCTGCAAGGTTTCTTGCTTTCCTGTTAATTCACCCTAGGGAGGCAGGCCGCACACCTGGGCTCAGGCAGTGCTCAGTGACCCTGCACAGTGTGGCCCCAGAGGGCCTCCCATCTGACCCTGGGGAAAGGCTGTTGTTGGAGCCCTGAGATCTTGTCACCTTGACATCCCAGTCACCTATCCACAGCCATCTTCACCCTGGTGGCCTTCATGCCCTTCCTCCAAAGGGAGCCCAAGCAGCGTCGATGGGAGGCCCCTTCCTCCTTCCATAGCTCAGGTGAGGGCAAGGCTACGCCCCACCTCCTCAGGGTCAGGAGCCCCTGCACTGGGCAGGACCCCATGGCCTCAGGCTGGGGACACAGAGATATGGGACAGTAGAGGAGCCTCAGACTGGAAATCCCAGTGCAGGGCTCATCAGCCCTCCACCAGGTTTTGAAGGGCCAGGCACAGCCCCAGACTGGCTGCATCCTGCCAGGCGCGCTGTCTGTGTGCTCACTGTCTGACCATCGGCTCCCGAGGGCAGCGAGCTCCCTGACGTGTCCCCTGGTGCAGGCCGCTCACCTTGGGGCCTGGGGCACATATTAGCTGGGTAAATCAGTAAGTGAATAAAGGCACCTGGCACGAGGGGAAGGGGTTGAGGGCTGATGGTTAACAATCTGGGCTTAAAAAGGAACAAATGCTTACAAGGCAGACAAGTGGGGTGGGGGAGAGTGTTCACAACTGGGCACCTTGCAGGGAGAACAGAAGGAACAGACAGAGGGAGAAAGACTACACCAGGTAGCAAGTGACGGATCAGGAGGGTCCCATCCCCTACGGTGAGCTGACCTTCACCCAGGGCTGCAGGGAGGCAGTACTGTACCCATGATGTGCAGAAGAGACAGAGTTAGTGTGCAAAGTTCTGGTCTAACCTCGGCCTGTGACCCCCCACAGTACACCCCGAGTTGTGTTGGGCAGGAGTGTGGGACCTTCCAAACTCAACTACAAGACGCGGGAGGCCAGCCTCAACGTTCAGAGGGGGCAGGATCATCACGAAGAGTTCTCGAGCATCACAAATCCCTGTTGCTGGAGCGATGAGATGTGGGTTAGTGTTCCTACCACGCCCAGGCAGGGCTTATGGAGCATTTTCTTTTGTTTTAAAAATACGTAATTGAGACAGTGCCCAAACTCAATGACATTTTATTATCTTATTATGAGAAAAATAATATTTATGAAAACTCATCTTCAAATTAAATTGATGATATGCTCGTTATCTTCCCTTCTCTCCAGTCAACAGTGATTAAAATTTTTCAAAAAAACATCCTTTTTTCTTGCAATGCAAATCAGTTTGACAAACACGAAGCTCTACCATTAGGAAGAAACATGGTGGAATCTCTGGAATGGGAATTGAGTGGAAAGAGCTCAATTTCATATCCCATAGGTCACAGGGATGGAAAACTGGCTAAAAATTTATTGCTTATTTCAGCCAAATGAGTTTAGGATGGGATGCAAACAAAATTCAAGGAGGAAAAAGAAAATCTGTGCTATTTTTCAAGGTACACATAGTACATTCATTTCTAGGGAAAGAGGCAAATGGACATTTACTTATTCTAAATTACATCAGGGAGGGAAGAGACAGGGAATAAAAGATTCAATAATACAGCGGTTAGTAATACATCCCATTTGTCTGGTTAACTCTGCACCTTCAGACAAATTACTTCTGTGAGCTTCAGTCTGATGATGGGATAGATCAAAGAAAGCAGCTTGTGTCTGCAGGAAAAATGTGTGAGACTCACTCTGACAGGCATTAGGTGTGATTTCTCTTTTCCCGCTTGGGAGGAATACAGAGAAATTCCTCGGAGCTGCCGAGAGGTAAGACTCTCATCTCAACAGCTGGCCTAGTGAGCCCGAGACCCACACAGCTAGCATCAGAGCAGATACACATCTGGCCGAAGAGCTCCGGAAGAGCTTCAGAGCCATGAGCTGCCTCAGGGAACTCGGCTCCGGAAGCTGAGTCCAGCCTAGCAGCCTTTGTTCATGCCCTCCTGTACCTGCTCCCAGTTTATCTTTTAAGACACACATCATAGTCTCACACACACACACACATTCTGGCCAGCAGTGTGGAGGTCAGTGTTCATGAAAATAGGATGCCTCCCTGACCCTCTCCATCCACTGTGGGCAGCTCCCTCCCAGAGAGGCCAAAGAATAGGCTTAGGATAGAAATTATCTCCACAGTTATTGTACACTTTCTCTCACTGCTAAACAGGTTCCAGAGAAATGATACTGCGCATTTAGGGAGTGTTTACAATGTTCTACAGATTGTGGGTGTATTTCAGTCCTAAGGATTTTAAGGCCTGGGTCCTAGCTGTCTGCACCCAGCTGGTCAATCCTCAGGAAAGCTGGTGGCAGTAGCACTCCCCCTCTAACTCTGCGTTTAAGGCCTTTGCCTCGCTGACAACTAGCATGGGTAAAGACTCATGCTGATCCTTTTTACATCTGCTTATGAGTCTACTTCTCCCATTAGACTATGGATTTCTCTGTGGTGGTCTCTAAGCAGATTTAAATTTATCTACATGCTGGCATATACATAACTTGCACTTAACAAATATGTGTCCTAGTAATAAAGACCAGTGATGAAAGCTGGGGGCTACACTAGGACTCCGTAAGCACTGCCTTAGCCTTTCAGGTACTCGTAAACTAGGAAATCTTTTTGGGTGGAGGAGGGTAATCCTCTGAAATACAGTATTTGCAACATTAATTTGGGGTGAAAGTCCCCAGTCCTTGAGTATCCAAGAGGACTTTTTAAGGAGCCCAC